CGTGGGTGTGGGGGTGAGCCCGCAGGCGAGGCTGTGAGCGGGTGGCGGTGACCCTGACGCGCTGCGAGTTTAGGTTTGCGCTCCACCAACGGAGAAGTTGTGAGCGTGTGTGTGCGTGTGTGTGTGTGTTGCTGGCAGGTTGTGAGTGCTTGTGCCCTTTGGGTTTTGTGTGTGCACGAGACAGAGAGGTTGTTCAGGGTGTGTGCGTCTACCAGAGAGGTGCGGAGGATGCTGTGCACCTGACAGGTTGTGAGTGCGTGTGTGTGCACTTAAACGTGTGTGTGCGGACACGCCAACTGAGAGTGTAGGGGTGTGTGTGTGTGTGTGTGTGCACCTCTCGCAGAGGTTGTGAGTGCATGTTCTCCTGCCAGGCCGTGAGGTTCTGTATGTACCTTATGTGCAGGTTTGTATGTAGCCAAGAGGTTGTGGAGTAAGTATGTGTGTGTGTGCATGAGCGTGAGCCTGCAGAGAGGTTGTGTGTGTGTTCCCTACTGACGGGAGTTTGTGTGTGTGCATGGTGTGCCTACACCACCAGCTGGCAGGTTGAATACGCTGTGTCCATGGACTGGAAGGTTGTGTGTGTTTGTGCACTCACGCGAAGGCTGTGGCCTGTCTGTGCCATATGTGTGCACCAGTGAGGCCGTGTGCATGGGTGTTTTAGTTGGTTGTGCAAGTGCTGGGGAGGCAAGGTGGGGGGGAGGCATTGCCTAAGCCATTCCCCCTTTTTCGACTTCTGGTCTCAGTGACAACAGCCCGTTGGGAGTGTCTGCTTGGTCTGATGCTCCCTGGGCCCTTTTAGGGCTGACCTCTAACACAGACTCAGGGAGCCCTTAGGGTGCCGGGTGTGTCCCTTCTCTCTGTGCTGCAATGCCTGGTTTGATTTTAGCACATTTGACCCCATCACCCACTTTTGTCTCCTCCTCGTTCTTTTTCTTTGTGCCTCTGCCCCCCTCTGAGACTTGATGTCCCCCTTTCTTATGTGCCCTGCTTATTGTCCCTCTAGTGAGTTGTCCTGAGGTCTTTGAAGGGCCAAGGAATCTGGCTTGGTCTGTTTTGGTGACTAAAGCCTGCCCCCCTCTCTTCCTGCTGTGAGCCCCCCAAACACCTGGACTGATGTCAGGAGCAGCCCACCAGGACACCCTCCCCCCACCCAGCCTAGCCTGGCTACGGCCAACTCTGGGAAAGAATCAGATTTCTTTCCATGTGTTATGACCCTTGCTGTGCCAGCAGGGTAAGGGGTGCAGCCCATCTGAGGAAGTGGGGTGAAGGTGGGAGGAGACAAGCCCCTGTCTCTTTCCAAGCAGGGACCACTGGGCAGGCCCATCAGAAAAGGCAAGAAACCGCCAGAGGGACCCCCAGATTGGGGATTTGTCAACCCATTTGCACTTTCGTAAACCAGGAACATTATGTGTCTGCAGACGCGTTTTCTTTCATGCGGAATTAGAAATCAAACTCCCCCAGGCATTTTTCTGTGCCTAACAAACTAGCTACAAAACTAAGCGAAGAGGGTGCTTCAGGTCCATCTGTATGTCTCTTTGGGCCCAAGTGGGCAACACTTGTTCTGACCTTTCTGCCATCAGGACTGTCAGTTGGAGCCCTGACCTGTGGGCTCTGGGCCTGGTGTGTCCTCTCATCGAAGGTTTAGTGGGAGGCACGAAGGTGGTTTGGTGCCTCTGCTTCTCACCCACTCTGGATCGAGTGCTTTGCGTGATGCTTTGCCAGAGCGAGAATCCACAGCTGTTATGAAGAGAGGTGTGGCATAAAGCAGAGAAATAAAGCAGGACCTTAGCCCTCCTGCTGCCCCCAACCTGAGTCTAGGAGTGGGGTCCTCCCCAACACTCTCTCTTCCTCTAGCTGCTAGGCTTTTTAGAGTCAATCTATCCAAAATCCAAGCCACGCACAAATCGTCAAGGATGGTGCTTATTCTATTCAACCTGTTTACATTACTTTTCATGGCGATCTTTTACTATCTTTAACAGCTTATTTTGTTTGTTTTCTAGTGTCTGGCTGGCTGATTGTTATCTGATTAGGCCAATACTTGCTGCTCGGGGGTGGGGTGGCTAGCCAGTAGATTCTTCTTGCCGAAACATTAAATAATACTTGATTCAGTTTTTCACTTTTAAAAAATGGAAAAAAAATTGGTCAGTTACGACATGGCAATAAACTTCAGAGCCAAAATTTGGAACAGCTTCTTCATATTCGTACATCACTAAATAGGTTCGGGGATGTTTCTAGCTTAAGCATGTTGATCTGTTTAGATGGGCACAATATAGTTTACATAATTTTAATTTTAGGTAAACACTTAACCATTTTGTTTTTATTTGTGGGGCCTGGAATGTTGTAAGATTTTGTGGGAGGAAAGAGACACACTGTGGGTTTCAAAAAAGTTTACTTTATCATTTATTCTGTAAAACAGGAATAGTAATGAGTGCTTTTGTGTTTGATAGGAGGGTTAAATGAGATGATGTATGTTAAACCTTTCTTTAGGTATGGATTTGTAAAACGAAGAATAATAACACATAAATACTAAACGTTGGCTCTGGTGTTTTGCACGAACTGAATTACTCCTTGACACATTGCCACGTGGTGGTGCACTCCTTGGAGACGACTGTCACTATTGCCACCAACAGCCTGGCCTGTCAGGGAAGATTTATTTCTTAGCTGTGTTTGATTTGGTTGACAGTATAAAGATGCAGAGACAGATTTCCCTGTTAGTTCAACTCAGCCTGCTTTGCTGTCTAGACATTTACTCTTACAAATCAATAAGAAAGGTTAGTACGGTGGAAAAGTGGACAAGGTCATGAACAAGGAAGTCCTAGCATAGAAGAGCCAATCTGTCCCATAAATGTATGAAGTGATGCTCTACTTCATGTGACATAGTTGCATGCATCAGTTTGGTTAAGCACTTAAATGACAACATTCAGAGTAAATAAAAGTTTTGGGAAGTGGATACTCTTACAGACTTTTGTTGGAGAATACAATCAATACAGACTTTTTAGAGGATAATTTAGCAGTGAATTGTTTAGGAACCTACCTGGCTGCAAGTAACAGACAACTGGGCTTATCCTATGGCGTAAACCAATGGATTTTATTCCCACACAGCTAACAGTCTGGAGGTAAGCTCCTGCTGGCTGTGGTTCAGCAACTCCTTGGTACCAGGCCTGACATCACCATGATTCTCTTGGCTTCTGTTCTTGTTGTAACATAGCTGCCACCCCTCCAAACACCACAGCCACCTTCGGGGCAGAAAACAGCGGCAGTCATGTCTGTCCCTTTTACCTGGAAAGCAAAAACGTTTGAGGACTGGTCAGCAAACTTTTGCCGGTGTTTATTTAGCAAGAACTGGGTCACACGGCCACCCCTAGCTGCAAGCAGACTGAGTTTCCAGCTTTTCCAGCCTTTGTTATGGGAGGCAGGAGATGATTAGAAATAGGTGGGAACAAAGTGTTGGTTCAGCCAATCAGCGATGTTGGCCGTATCTTCAAACTTGTAGTTCTACTTCTGGGTGTTTCTCCTGGAGAAGTGCCCTCATATGTGATCAAAGAAACACGTACAGGAATTTTCACTGATGGGTACATTGCTTGCAGTAGCAAAAAATCCATTCTGAGTTCACTGTTTTATAAGATGAGAAATTTAGGTTCAGTTTTTTGCTGTTGAAGCAATTAGACATAAATTGTTGGAAAGGCTATCCTTCCTCTTTTGAATTTCCTTTGTATCTCTGTCAAAAATCAGTCAGCATATTAGTGTAGATCTCTTTTTTTAAAAAATTTTTAAATTTTTATTTATTTTTGAGATAGAGACACAGAACGCAAGCAGGGGAGGGGCAGAGAGAGAGGGAGACAAGATCTGAAGCAGGCTCCAGACTCTGAGCTGTTAGCACAAAGCCGGATGTGGGGCTCAAACCCACGAACTGTGAGATCATGACTGGAGCCAAAGTCAGACGCTCAACTGACTGAGCCACGCAGTCCCCCCTGTGTAGGGTCTCTTGTTCACTGATCTACCATAGCTATGTAGTAAGTCTTGAAATAGGATGGACTGATTTCTCCAATTTTTTGTTCTTTTTCAAA